AATGTGACAAAATATGGAAAAGTTCAAGGGGTATGAATACTTTTGCAAACCACTGTACATATAAGGCAAAAAAAAAAAAAATACTCCTCCTCCCTCTCCGGTTGGAAATAATAACTTTTTGTTTCCTTGTTCGCTCATTTTTCATCCATTTTTTTCCGCACTAGTAACCAACAACTCGTATTACCTAAAGTCTCGCAAGACCATGTTCGGAGTGCTGCCTGTTTCACGGCACCCAAAACAGACAACGTCTGTGAGATGGGGAGGGTGGAGGGAGCGTGTTCAAGGCTGGAATGTAAACTTCTCCCGCCTCCCACCTCCATCGCTTCTGCCAGAGTTAGAATGAAGCTCAGCGAGCGGACATGAGTCCCRGGCCAGAGCGCAACCTTGCTCTAACAGCTGACGAGCCGGCTCGTCAGCTGTTGCGCTTCGTGGGCGACTGGGAACCAGCTGGTGGGCGACCGGTCGCCCGCGAGCGACTGGTTGGGCACCCCTTGTCTAGAGCCCTGTAATATTGCCTTAATGAACAGTGATTAAAAAAATAACCTATAAAACTCTGATGTTAAATGCGACGTGGTAGAAAATTTGGGTGCACCTAAATTTTGTGTCGGTGCGCCTAAGAAAAAATGTTAGGCGTACTGGTGCAACCAGTGCAAAAAGAGCCTAGAGCCCTGACTGGGCTCAGTTTGTAAAAACTTTAGTTATGTTAAACCTTTGTTTAATAGAACCTGAGGAATGTAAACATTTGAGATGAGTTTCAAAATACAGATCTTATGCAGTGTATGTTTATGGTTACCAATATGGCGGAAATCATTTTTGAATTATGATGTTGCAAAAGACACAGATACAATAAAAGCTATGAAGACAACAGAGCTGCTTCATGGAATAAGAACCTTAGCTTAGCCTGTTAGCCTTTGTGCTAGCGCCAATGCTATATTGCCTTATGTGTATTAGCTTGGCGTTAGCGCGACAGACTAACAAGCTAAACTGTTGTCCTCCATCTATATTTTCAGTTCCAGGCTGAGTCATTTCTACCTTCTCCTCTCTGTCAACGCTCTCTGGTTTCATTTAAAAGAGTCGATCATCAGATATTGTCCAAGATTAACCTTCAGGGTGGATATAGCTCGCTAGCAGCCTCATGCCGAGGACCTATCCACGTCATCATTTACCCAGAATGCTTTGTGTGTAAATAAAATGGCTCCATCCTTGTAATATATCTTTAAACTTTTAGTTTAAATATTATAAAAACTAAACAGCCTACAGTATTTTTACAGTCTTTATTTTACAGTTAAAATATATATTTATCAAATAAAGTCTAATGTTACAACCAATCATGGATCCCTTTAAAGCAGTGGTTCTTAACCTGGGTTCGATCGAACCCCGGTCTCAGGGGTTCGGCGGAGCCTCTGCCGCAGAGGTTTTTTTTTTCTCTCTCTGCCACGGAGGTAAAAAGCAGAGGATCACGTGAGATTGCTTGGCCAATAAGTGCTGCGGGAAATTTAGTGTGCACAGTAGTCAATGTGTGTCGTAGTAGAACGTCATGTGGTAAATATGTCGAGCAAAAAAAGAAAGTGGTCAGACGAATATGTACAGCATGGATTTACGTGTGTCACAGAACGGGATGGGAGTCAGCGTCCTATCTGCATGATATGCAATGCCAAGTTGAGCAACACTAGCCTCGCACCGGCAGAAATAAGGGAACACTTCTTGAAGCTGCATGGAGATGGGGAGTTGATCTTCTTTGACTGTTTTACTTCTTATATCTTTTTTTTGTTGTTTCAATATAAATTTTTCTAAATTCAAATCCAAACTAAGTTGTTTATATAGCACATTTACAAACAGCTGCTGTTGGCTAAAATGCACAAAAAAACAAAACAATAAAAAATTAAACACCAGACACAATAAAATATATATAGAAGGGCTGGGCGATATGGCAAAAAAAATTATTACGATTTATTTTTTCATATCGTCCGATCTTGATCAATATCACAATTTCTTTGTTAACTTAAAACATGACTGAAAAATAATTTAACAAATAAATAGCTACAGAAATCAAAAATAATAGCTGTTATTTCACTTTCATTAATATAACAAATAGCTGTGGTTCAGTAGAACATAAAATTATTTTTGCAAGGTATTTAAAAAAGGTATTTACCAAGAAAAAAAACATTCTTTGTAAATTTAAAGTGACTGAAAAATAATTTAACAAATAACTAGCAACAGAAATAAGAAAATAATATTGCTATTTCACTTTCACTAATATAACAAATAACTGTGGTTCAATAGAACATTAAAGTCTTTTTGCAAGGTATTTAAAAAAGGTATTTACCAAGAAAAAAAACATTCTTTGTAAATTATAGAATCTCACATTGATGAAGTTATCCTTTTGTAAAATAAAGTTTTAGAATTGAATTTCACATCAATTATGCTATAAAGAAACATAAACCTACAAAGAGCAACATTTTGTGCACACTTGCCTATTGAATAGGATCTAATCTTATTTACTTCTGTTTTTAAGGAAGCCCCCCACACCCACTTCTGCTTATAGTTCTTAAACAACGGACAAAGCTGTTTTATTTTCTCTAAAGTGATATTTGATTCTGCACACAACAAAATCTTGGATAAACTCCCACTTTCTGAGTGTTGAGGAGTTAGCAGCGTCTCTCAGCTGCTGTTTGTGATGAGACTCAGACAGGAAGTGGTCTTCACATCTCGTCCAGCC